TAGCTTTGCCTCCCTGTGATAAATGGGCCCCAAAGATCCCCACCCACCCCCACCACCAAAACCCAGGTAAGGGTTATTTCCTAAATCAGGTCCACATTGCCTTGTCCCTTGGACATTGTGCTTGGTTGCTGGTCTGCCCTCCCAGGTTGGGCTTTGTAGCTAGAGCAGGCTCTTCACCTACTCTGCTCTTGTGGGCAGACCTGGCCAAGGAACTGCTCTCTTCTCCTGGCAGTCTTTGTGTTCTTTTGAGTTATGACAGGTGATACATAAAACCATATTCTTTGGAATAGAGGAGGAAAGGCTCAAGGGCGGGGGAAGAGGGACTTCTTTAAATAGGTGTCTTCCAGTATTTGAAGGGTTGCCATGTTGGGGAACTATTGGGCTTGTTCTGCATGGCCCTAGATGTTAGAACCAAGATTCAAACTAGGTTGAAGCCACTAAGCCTCTGGAGCACAGAGGCTTTCTACTCTTAGCTCAAATTTAACGCTTCCCAAAGACATAAAGGGATTCCTTGGGATGGAGGAAGCCCTTTGTTATGGAAGGGAATTCAGCATAGGTAGATTAGCAGGTCTAAATTTTGTTTATTGGTTTATTTCCATTGCAACATAGATAAAGTATTGTGTTTACTGGAATGATGTTTGCATGTGGGAAATACTGCTTCAGTGGTATGCCAGTCATGAGCAACCTGTAATTCTACTCTCTTCTCTGTCTTCAAGGACCGTGAGGTCTCCAGTTTTATTACTGCAACATCCTGGAGCCTACTCTGATTTTTTAAAATTAATGTTCACTCAGTCAGTGAATAAATATCGAGCAGTTACTATATTCTAAGCACTGTGATTCATTCAGTGCTCAGTATGTTGAACTGTTTAACCAAGTCCTTTTGACATTGCAGTTACAGATGAGATGTCACAGACATCGTAGAAATGATTCGGGTATCAAGTGGGGTTGATTTATGGATGATCTTTAAGTTTCTTTTATATTTGAGAATCTGTAACTGAGCTTCATGATTCTAGTCTCATTCTGAGTAGATATCTTGCCTCCAGGTATAGTTTTTAAAAGTCAGACGTGAATTTGGAGTAGATTGCGAAGTCTGTTCTCCTCAGTCCCTGTATTTGTCTACACAGATAGCAGGGAGACTGCACTCTCAACATCATTACTCCTTCCCCAGAAAAGACTGTTAGGATATAACCTTGAGAAAATGCTCCTCTCCTTAGACCCTCCTCCAGCACTGCCAGCGGGGGCTCAGCCCCAGCCATCTGTCGGGTGCACATCTCATCTGTCAAGGTTTCAGTGTCCCAGAATTGCGCTCTGTTTCGGTTCCTCTGAGTGGCTTTAGCCAGAACAAGAGTTCAGGTTAATTTGGTAAAAATACATTCTGAACTCCCGGAGTTCATTCGCTTGGGCCTTCTTAGGAATGTCGTCATCAGTGTTAAGAAGCTGCTAACCACCTTTGTGAAAACTGTCAGAGAGCCAGGTGTAGCAGAAACTGCTGAGCATGGCATTCCATGGACAGGATATGTGGGTTTTGGGGAGAAGGCATATTTGACTTAATCATCTGTATCAGCAGTCCTAAAATTCCATTCGGTGGAAAAAGAAATCAATATTGACTGCAGGGGATTTCTGTTTGATTGGGTCAATAATCATTTGCAGTGATTCACCTTATTATCTCTATACCCTGATAACCTAATTATCTCTGTTACCCTTGGAAATAATCAGCATGATGAAAGGAGACCTGAAGGAGTATTTGGTCTATCAGAATTGTGCTCAAGCTGTCCCAGTCAGGGCATGATAGTTTGCAACGGAGCTAAGTTGTCTGCTTAGTGTAACAACTCTCATGATTCAGCTAAAATTATTTTGGAGTTTGCCATATTTTTTAAGATTGATCTGGAAAATAACTGATGCATTATAACATCCAAATCCTTGGAATATTAATTTTGACAAGAGCTTTATTTAGATGTAGTTCACATACCATACAAGTCACCTGTTTAAAGTGCAACCATCAATTCTAGGACATTTTCATCACCCCTTCTTCCTCAGCCCTAAGGAACACAAATCTACTTTCTATGTCTATGTATTTGTCTATTTTGGACATTTCTTATAAACATATAATCATATAATATATAATATTTTTTTGTGACTGGTTTATTTCACTTAGCATGTTTTCAAGGTTCATCCATGTTGTAACATGTACCAGTATTTTATTCTATTTTATGGCTGAATAATATTCTTTTTTATGGATATACCACATTTTGTGTATAACCACTCACCAGTTGAGGGGCACTGTTTCTCCTTCTTTGACTGTTATGAATAATGCTTCTGTGAATATCTATGTGCAAGTTTTTGTGTGGATGTATATTTTCATTTCTTTTGCTATATACCTAGTAGAATTGCTGGGTCCAATGGTAACTCTCTGTTTAAGATTCTGAGGAACTACCAGACTATTTAAAAGCAGCAGTGTCATTTTACATTCCCATCAGCGGGGCATGGGGATTCTGATAACTCCACATCCTCTTAACACTTGTTATTAGCTTAGACATGTTTGTTATGGCCAAGTACAGATCACTAGGAAGGTATTAAGTGATATCTCATTGTGGATGATTTCCACTTTGTTGTTGGCTACTGATGTTGGCATCTTTTCATGTGTTTTTTGATTATTTGTATTTTTTTATGGAGAAATGTCTCTTTGGATCCTTTGCCCATTTTTGGGGGAGTTATTTATCATTTTATTATTAAGTTTTAAGAGCTATTTATATATTCTATATGTCAATCCCTTATCACATATGATTTGCATATATTTTCTCCCATTCCTTGGGTTGTCTTTTTATTTACTTGATATTGTCCTTGAAATTACAAATATTTTTATTTTAATAAAATCCAGTTTATCTGTTTTTTTCTTTAGTTGGCTTGTGCTTTTGGGGTCATGTGCCTCTGCCAAGTCTGAGCTGATGAAGATTTAGCTCTTTGGTTTTTTTCTAACAGTTTTGTACTTTTTGCTCTTACCTTTAGGTATTTGATCCATTTTGTGTTAACTTTTTCTGTGGTCTGAGTTTATTCTCTTGTATATGGCTGTCTAGCTGTTCCAGAACCATTTGTTGAAGAAGCCTGTTTTTCCCCATTGCATAGTCTTGGCAGCCTTGCCAAGAACTCAATTGGCCATACAGTTGAAGGAATATAAATATATGGGTTCATTTATGGATGATAAAGCATTGAGCTCTATGTGTGTCCTTATGATAGCACCACAGTGTCTTGATGACCTTGTTTCCTTGGAATATTTTTAAGTTGCAAAATGTATGTTCTGAAAATATAGAACTATGTACCATTTTTGTATTATTAAATTAACTGTCAAATCTTGTCTCTAATTTTCAAATTAGCATCTTATTCATATCTGGTAATAGGGAAAGCACATCCAAACATTATTTTTAATACACATTAATAGAATTTGACATTTTTAAAGAAAATTGTTAATTCTTTACATTTTACCTTATTTAACTATAAATATTTGCAGTTAAATTGCAGCACTTTGATTTAGATAATTAAATCTTGCTCATATTTCTGACTAATTCAGGAGAATTCCCTGGATTGACCATGATGACATGGAAAAGTGGAGAGGTTTAGGGTTGGAATCTACATCTCAATATATCTGCATGGCAGGGGTTCAGAAGGAAGCTTGTCCTGAAGTCTAATAAAGGAGTGGCATGATGGCTTGGGAACTCAGTTGTCTATCAAGCCCTGCACCCAGCGAAGCTGTCTCCTAGTTGGTGTGATTGACAGTAGAAAGACCTGGAGTTGGGTTAGAAGAAGATAGCCCATGATTGTGTGTCTTGTTCTGATCTTTTTAAACTTATTAAAAGAAAATAATAATGTAGCTGAATGTCGTGGCAAACAAAAGGCAGCAGTTTCTCACTTTCTAACTGTCAAGGAAATAATAGATATACCTCAGGATAATATAAATATTCTGCTGACTCTGCTATGGGAGAAAGCAGCACACAGTCTAAGATGATAATATGTGGTTCTAACAAAAGAACATTAGTAGATGCAAATCTAGAAGGCTCATGTTCCACTCAGTTTGTTATATTGGAAATCAGGAGTTATGCCTCAGTTGGTTAAAATGATTGAGATGTTCTGAATCTTAGTCAACAGCCAGGATATTCTCCTTGGAGTGTGAACACAGTCGTTCTTTTATTTGTTCGTTGATTCATTAATTCATTCCATCCCTCTTCCCTCCTCCATTTCACACTGCACTTGTCATGGTGTCTTATGTAAAGTAAGTGTTCAATATGGGAGAGACTTATTTGAGGATGGAAAGAGAAGTAGAGAGAAAGAGGGGCAGAGGAAGGGCTAGACACCAAAAATAGGGCAAAACCACAGATAGGATTGGGGAGCTGGTGAATCAGGAGGGACAGCAAGGGAAGTTGCCAATGTAGCCTTTCCTTTTCTGCACATCTTCCTCATTCCCACAGCAGAATACATGAAGGGATGGCTTGGGGCTAGGTCTGCAAGTAGTCCAGGTCACACTGTTCACTCTGCACCAGTTTCCTTTTAATAAGAAATTTTCTGAATTGAATCACAGCTTACCTTACCAAAAAGTGTAAATCTTCTTTTTAAACAAATCATTTGTTTTATTTCAAATTTCAGAAAACAGTTATTTGGATTTTAATATCACTGTAGTAACACAGAGATTTACTTGGCATAAACTAGGAAAAATATGGTAAGAACAAGTAAATTGATTTGTATTTGATTAGACACTGACCTGACTTTTTTTAATAAAAACTTTTGGGGGGATGGGGAGATAAGAACTTTATTGAAAAATTTTTATTTAATTATTCCTGTCTATAATTGTGCCTCCACTTTGCCTTTTGCTTTGTTCAGGGAGGATATAAGAATATAATGCTCAGTGTTTGATGTAGGAACACTAGCATTTTTACAGTGAACTGAACAAGTATCTTTCACAGTGTATACGCATCTGCCTTTTTTCTAACTTTCCTTCTCTTGGGTTATAGGCCAAGAAAGAAGAGAAAACTCTCACCACAACATTTCGAAGGGGATACATTGCCAGAATTTGGAATACTCTTCTGGACAAACGTTTTCTCCAGGGTAAATATTACCATTGTACCAATAAGGGAGCACATCATTAGAATTTTCAAATGGCAGCGGTACAGCACAAAGGTTTAATTGTTTAGTCTCATACAGACCTAGAGTGATATGAGAAAAAGAGAGAGAAGGAGAGAGAGAGAAGGAAGCAGTGCTGTGGGGGCCTCCTGCAGCCTCTTCTAAATGTGTTACCAGGAGGATGCCATCAGAATCTGGGAGTTCACTGGGCCGGACGAAAAATGTGTGGGAAATGAGGAAGAAAGGAGAGACTGGCCTTTTTTCTTCATGTTACAGATACTTGTGAACACAAAAGCCAGTGGGGTTTGATTATAAAAATAACAATTTATCTTTAACGAGGAAAAAAAACGAGTAGTTTCCTTTAGAGATTAAAATAAAATATACACTATATTCATATCACAAGTGGGGAAAGCCTGAATCATAATATTTTGCACCAACTGAGACAAGTATGAAAGATTTTAAGGAACTCCATGTTCTTCTATGAAAATACTTGTTAAGTAAGTCTTTAGAAAACCTTTTATTGGTTTGTGAGAAATGCTTTATGAAGTTCTTGTTTTGGAAATCGTATCTTTAATGCCTCTTGTGGGGAAGTGTGTGTGTGTGTGTGTGTGTGTGCGTGTTTGTGTGTGTGTGTGTGTGTGTGAGACAGAGTGAGAGAGACAGAGAGACCAAAGAAGAATCTGTCAGCATGATACTCTGTGTTTCACAGGAGTAACTCTAGGCGCTTTCTTTATGAATCATGAGCTCAGTGGGAATAAAGGCTTAACAGAAGCAGCTGAATTCATAGTCAGCTTCAGCATTCATGAATTAGCTGCCAATATTTTAGCACAAATTGCTATGTCATTTCTATGAAGTTCCCCTGTCGCTGCTCAGTCTGGAGCTAAAAGCTGTTTTATTTTATCTGATGAAATGCCTAAATTTTATCTGATGCAACACCTCCTTCCTTCCTTATAAAGATATTTGTGTAACCCACACACACAGAAATGCAAAAACATACGATCTCATTTAAAAGAAAATAAACTTGTCAACTTTCCCTGTTTAGAAGTTAATATGACATAGTTGGCACTGTTCAGCCCTTAGTGTTGTAGAAGGCAGTTTCAGACTGACGAGGGGAGAGTCCTGTTTGTCTCCTCGGTCCTCATCCTGGTTATTCTCTGAAGGGCTTGGAGTGAGGGGAATGTAGGCTGTACATTGGAGGAGAATTTTGTGATACTATTCATTCTCTGTTCTGACAGAGAGGACATTGTTTGTTCACTGTAACAGGCTTGGCAGGAATCTGTGCTGTGCATACAGAATGGGAAAATAGCAGAGCAGTGGGAAATCTCAAAATTCTAAGCAGCAGATCAGCTTAGAGATTTTTCAAAAATCTATTTTAATAGCTTCTCATTACTGTAGATGTAAGTCATAATTTGGGGAAATAGTTTTCCTTTCAGTGATAGTTTTTTTCACATTGCATTTTGCCTGTGTTACATGAAAAAAAAGTCTCTAAGATAGCAGAATGCCTATCCAAGTACTGTAGTAACAAGAATTAAAATCATGGAAGTTTAGAAATACTTGATGAACTCGCTAGTCCTGCTTTGATATTGCCCTTTGTATGTCAGCATTCACATTGGTAGAAATGAAAATTAACCTATGTACGTCATCTGGTGGTTCACAGAAGTGAGTGTGTGCTGCCAAAGATACATTTAAAGATGTGCCTTGAGGTAGAGGTGCACTGCTGGTGAGAGGGAGCCATGCCCCAAATGCTGAGAACTTTAAAGGCAACAACTATAAAAGCAAAGGCTCAAAGCAGCATGCAAACCCGGAATTGGAAACTGAACTGGCCATGACTGAGGCCTGGTGTTTCTGCTGCTTGAGGCTATGTGTTTCTACTCTCCCTGAGTACAAGGAGTCGGCAATATGATGGTCCCTGATAGCCCCCGGTGTCTGGGCACTTGGTGTGTGCGCGTGCGTGCTAGGCTACTGTGTTCACAGGCAGTGTGTGAGCTAGAGAGTGGGAGAGCTTGCCACCAGCAGCCCCAACAGCAGGTGTGGGCGACCTCGTCCTTACACTTACAGAGAAATTTATCATTACTTCCCAATCTTGGCCTATATTTTTAAGAGCAGCTCCCTGGATATTTTTTTTAAAACTACATAATATAAATTATGAGACTTCTAAAATTATATCTGTGGTAGTATCAGTATACAGTAGAGCACTGGATTACTTTTTATATAGCCTGCATAAGGGTTAATCTTACGTAACAAAAGCAGGTCCTTTGCTCCACCACTAGTGACATGATTCACATATACTATGTGCTTTGTTGTTTTTAAGTTTCCCAGTCTTTTAAAATAAGTTTGTTAGACAATCCTTTTGATGATGCACGTTTGTCTTTTAAAACGTGTATAGAAATTGGCTGGCTGTCGTGGCTCATGCCTAAATTTCCAGCACTTTGGGAGGCCAAGGCAGGCAGATTGCTTGAGTCCAGGAGTTCAAGGCCAGCCTGGGCAACATGGCTGAAACCCCATCTCCACAAAAATTACAAAGATTAGCCAAGCATGGTGGCATGCACCTGTAGGCTCAGCTACCTGGGAGGCTGAAGTGGGAGGATCACTTGATCCTGGGAGGTAGAGGCTGCAGCGAACTGAGATCACACCTCTGCCTCCAGACAGGGACAGAGCAAGACCCTGTCTCAAAAAAAAATGTATAAAAATATATTTACATGATGGTACCTTCAAGTACCTTACAAAGATAGCAAGAAAAAATAACCAAGTCTTTAATACACTCTTTCCCTTTCTTGTTTCTATTTGGTACATTTTTTGGTCTGTTTTTCAAGCAGTTTTTATTTTATTGTTTTCCACAGCTGAGTTAAGGATTACCGAGGGACGTGAGGTTGAGGCAGGGCCAGGCTCTCCTGGTCCAGCCAGGGACTCCTTGGAGGTGCTGCCTGCAGCAGCAGGACCAGCAGGCCCCTGGAAGATACCGCCGTGTGCAGGGTAATTGCTGGCCCATCTGTGACTCTGCAGCCACGCCTCCTGTCCTGCCTGCTTGTTCCTTTTCTGCCGGGATCTCCGGCAACCCCCAAGGCCTGATCTTTAGCACACGCCAATGGCAGCTGGCTCTTCATAACATGTGACCACACCTCACCAGAAAGCTGGAAGAGCCTGCAGGCAGCTAAGTAAGCATGGGCACAGGCCTCATGTGTGTCATCATCACGGCTCGGGCAGGATGCCCCAAAGCACAGCACGCAAGGGCCTTGTTTCACCAATGTTATATGTCACCATCAATTATGAAAGAAAATGTTTACCTGTCAAGGGAAATTGGAGTAAACACTTAATGACACTATTTTATTTTGGGTTTTGTTTTGTTTTGTTTTGTTTTTCTGAGACAGAGCCTTGCTCTGTTGCCCAGGCTAGAGTACAGTGGCACCATCTGGGCTCACTTTGACGTCTGCTTCCCAGATTCAAGTGATTCTTACACCTCAGCCTCCTGAGTAGCTAGGATTATAGGTGAATGACACTATTTTATTTAACAAACACTTAATTTGTACCTACAGGGAGGCAAGCACTAGTCTAAGCACTTTGCAAATATTCCTGATCACCCTATTACTATTATTAACATTTCTGTTTTACCAAAGAGGAAACTAAAGCTCAGAGAAGCTAAGCAACTTGCCAAAGGGTAGAGTGACTTGCCATTGGCATCTACTTCAGGGTCTAGGCGTTAGGGCTCCATAGGTCTAAACACAGGTGTCCCTTGGACCATAGCAGAGCTTGCTTAACTGTCAGGCCCCTTTGGGCTCTGTGCACACACACGCTGCCCCCACAGAGGTACACACACCATGCTATGTTGTCATTTTTGGAACTCTGTCCCCACTGACTGATGGCATTTGCTCAGTGGAAGAAGAATTTGTCATCCCTGTCTTTCTAGAATTCACAGTGGGTGCAGACTAATGTTAATGGTAAAGAGGATTCCAGGCACCTCCTCCTGTGGCTGTCAGGGTGAGCCGCATCCTGTGGCGTGCCTGCAGAAGAGTGCCCAAGCAGCATGCAAAGAAAGGCCTAGGGTACTTCCCTGCCCTCCTTTACAGCTTCTTCACTGGTGAGTCCCGGGCCACCTTCACTGGTGAGTCCTGGGCACAGCACGGTGTAGCACCACCTGCCAGCATGGAGAGCAGCCGCTCTTCAGGATGGACTTTTGACAGTTCCTCCCTCCCCGCTGCCATGGGGATTTAGACAGTCGCACCTGCAGACCTATGTTAACCCAGAACTTCCCAAAGTGGAATCTGAGGAGTGTTGATGGGTGCAGCTCTCTCTCTCATTTGGATTCCCCCACAAGAGAAAAGAAAAAATGGTTTATTGGTGGTTGGATATGTTTGGGAGATGTGGGTTCAGCAGAATGAAATTGATTTACTTATTGCACAGGATTGCTCTGAATTTTCTTGTGACTCTCCAAAGCAACATGTAGAATGCAGAATTTCCTAAATTTTGTATCGCTTCAGGTCGGTGAAGATGTCTATCAACATCCCTTGGACAGTGTTGTCTTAAGGAGAGGTAAACAAAAAATAAAAAGCTAATGTCACAGGAGGCAACCAGATATTGAGGGAAAATCAATAAGCTATATTTTTGATCTCTAAATTCCAGTCTCTTTTTAAACTGATAGCTATTGGGACCTTAGAGCCTGAAATTTCTCATTTGTAAAATATGGAAGATGGAACTGAATTTTCTCTAAGCTTTTTTCTTCCTTGTAAGCTTGTTTGCTCCAGAAGAGTTTTAAGAATAAGATGCAATATACAACACATCAAATGGAAAATTGGTGAGGGGAAAATGAGACACAGAATATATAAGGTAGAAAACATGGACCAGACGCGGTGGCTCACACCTGTAATCCCAACACTTTGGGAGGCCAAGGTGGGCAGATCATGAGGTCAAGAGATCAAGACCATCCTGGCCAACATGGTGAAACTGCATCTTTACTAATAATACAAAAATTAGTCAGGCATGGTGATGAG